TGCCCAGGATTGATCCCAGGCTTCCAGCTTGCTATGCAAGCATTCTACTGCTGGGCCAAATCCCCAGTCCTGAGGTCAAACTTAGTAAAGTGAATCAAGACACACCTGTAAATACCACACTGTTTCTCTGGTGTGAGAAACTCAATAAGTAAGGACCAAAATGTATAATAGATATTGTGACATAGAAAATGTCCACATAAGAAGGGGAACTATGGAGCGGGGAAGAGGAAAGGAAGGGAAAGGAAAAAAAAATACTAATGAGAAAAGAAGAAAAAAAATGGAAACAAATGTTTTGTAAATAAGGAGGGGAAGTGCTGGAGGGAGGGCTGGAGGAATAGGAGAAGAAATCAGTCTATACTATGCACAGGTACAAATTCCCTATGATGAATGTGATCATTATGTACACCCAAAATGTACCAATAAACTTTTTGTTTGTTTTTTGAGACAGGGTCTCACTGCATAGTTCAGGCTGGCCTTGAACTCACAGCAATCCTTCTGCTTCAGCCTCTTAGGCAATAAATTTAATGAAAACAAACAAACAAAAAAAAAAAAGCAGAACTGAATATAAACAAAATAGAGACCAAAATGAAAACTAACAAGGAAAAAGCAGGGCAACAGAGTTCTTAATGTTCTACTGGCAAGAACAAAATAGAAAAGTTGAACTGGGAAAAAGGTATTAGTTACATACCTACTACAGCTACACAGCGCTGGCTAGCACTTACCACAGTGGGTAGATTCCTAGACGAGTGACCATAAAAACAGCGCTGAAGATCACAAAAAGGGTATCACAGAGCCGCTGATACTTGGCATAATTGGCCAGCTTGGCAGCCTGGACAAAAGGAGAATTGAGTTGGAAAAATATTCTTCTGTAGAAAGAAAAGAGAATAAAAGAAGAGAAAAAAGGAGGTGAGGGTGAGGTGTGGAGGACCACCAGGACGGCTCTCCTTGAAAGAACATCTGTCTCCATTTTGGCTAAACCTGAACCTGTTTTCCATGTATTTATATGTACAGAGCTGGCTAAGATACTTCTTTATTCCCTCAACTGGCCTTAAGCAATGCAAATGGGTCTAGTGAGGTGCTGATGTGGCACTGCGACAGCCCACTGAGGCCCTGCCTATAGCTCCAACTAGTGTGGGTGAGCTGGGCCCAGTGACTCCATGCTATCAGCTGAGACTGAGCTTGAGAAAGAGGCCAAGACATCTCAGGGCATGATGACTGCACATCAGAGCTAAAGCAAGGAGCCCTAAACTATCTCTGTCTCTGTCACTCTCTCCATATTGCAGAGGTACTATCGGGCCTCCTACCTAGCCCAGCTCGCAGCACTCAGAGACTTCCCATCTTTTTCTCAGTGGCTCATCCCTGACCCATTCCCTACTTCACAAATTAATAAAACACAGGTTTGGGCCTGGGTTAGGCCTTTGCTCCTTTTAGCTAGACTTAGGAACTCCTTAGTGTCTTTAATATAAACACACCTTAGTGTCTACCCTTGCCACGAATTGCACTGGAAGTGGTAGACTGGAACTAATTTATTGGAATTCCAATTACTTTCCCCGGGATTACAAATATAAACTACACCTGACTGTGATGAGGTGCAGGAAGGGCTTGGGGGAGGGGGAGCACAGAAAATAATAATAAGGAAAGAAGGACTGGGTTCTTACTTCCAGAAAGAAGTCTGAGGCATCATGCAGACACAAGACCAGAGTTCCGACCCGAACCATGTTGTTGATATAAGAGAAGGTGATGAGCCCAATGGTAGCCAAGTGATGCACAAACATGATCAGGAAATCCTAAGGAAGCAAAAAAACATGAATGCAGGTATCAAGAAAGCTACAGAAATGCTGGCCAACCCAGTGCCTTGTCTTATTCTCTGGGGATCTTACCCCACCTCTTATAGGTTCCATACTGCTTACACCCTCCCTTAGGGAGTTGCCCAGCATTTTTACCCAGCATTCCTGTATCAGAGACTGACCAGTCTATGTTATCACAGCCCAGAACAGAGAACGGCATGGGTACTGAGCTGACTTTTGAAAGTAATCTCCTTGGTGACAATGGGACACACAAGCCTTCAATAGTCCTAAGACTCTTCTGCTTTAATTAAAGACATTTCAACTAAAGGGCACCAACACAAATGAAGTTTGTGAAGGGGTAAAGGTAAACTTCCAAAAGTTCAGAGAAATGCTTACTAGCTAAGCAATTCATCTTACTGCAAAGTAGTTCTTACTTTCAAATTTAAAGCTCTATTTCCTCTTGGGTTCAAATGCGTAAGACCTGAAGAAAACTGTCAAGTACTTGAGTCATCAGATGTAGCTAATAAGACACATTTCAGCATGGTGAAGAGACAGAAGGTGGGAGAAGGCAAGTGAACAGGAGTCAGAGAAACAAGGAACAAATGTCCATGCTCTCTCTACAGATACAATGGTATTTATGATGTTGTGGTTCTTGCTTTTTTAAATTCTGGTACTGAAGATTAACCCCAGGGTCTTAGTGTGTTATTCTCAGAGACATATTCTGGTTTTCTTTGGTACTTTAGGGAAGGGTCTACAGGGTATTCAGGGTCTCACTACTAGATTGGACTCATAGTGATCTGGCTGTTTACAGCCTCTCAAGAGCTAGGATTATACACGCGTGCCACCACGCCCAGTCTTATTCTGACACAAAGTTGTCCAGACTGGCTTGAATTTGTGTTACTCTTGTCTGAGCTTCCCAAGGTGCTAGGATTACAGGCATGCACCACACTCCTGGCTGACTTTCTAGTTCTTTAGTGGCTTATTATTTATTTTATTTATTTATTTTTTTTTTTT